CACAAGAAAAAAGCTGGAGTGAATAAGTCACCAGCCTTTCTGCTACAAGAGAATGATTACACTGGCCTCCATTGAGGCTTCTTTCCCTTTTTTATCTCATTTTCTGCCCCATCCTCCATACTAGCTGATGAATCCCTGGTTAGAAGAAAATGAGTTTGACCAACATTAGTATATTTAAAATTATAGCATTTTATTCTGACAGTTTTAGTAATTGTGTTATTACACATACAATACTGAGTATGCTTTGCAGTGTAATTTCTTCATAACATTCCAATGTGTTTAAATATTCCTGAACATAATCTTAGTTTTAGGCTCCACCAATAGTAGACTTTTTGAAGTCAACATGGCTGTTTGGATTGCCTTTTTCATTGACTTCTGAGCTAGCACTGAGTACATTTTCCCATTCCGTTCCTGTATTTTCCTTCAATCTTAAATTGCTATAGCATTAAATATTGCTGTCTGGAATATTAGGTTTAAATCTTAACATAAAAAACAAATTTCTTCTGTAGTCAACATATGTGGCCCCAACATAGAATTTGATAGTTTTTCGTGATTGTTTCCAAAATGTAAACTCTTACGTATTATTGTGTAATACTGGGTGGCAAGTTAAATTTTACTACAGTTCTTCACCCTGAAAATCAAAATTACACATTTCTCTTGTCCATCAAAATAGTGTTAGACTAGGTAATCTCTTTCACTTCTTCCACCATAACTGTTTGTTGTTGCATGACATGTAGATATAAATGAAGATGCCCATTTCCCTTTTTTAATCTGCATAGAACTGCTAGCTTGTGCCATTTCACACAATATCTATAGGGTTAACTTATGGGAGTACTGAACATCAAATCTTATGCAAAGTGATTTATTCCCAAACTTGAAACGTCCATCCCAAAGTTTATGTAAATTGTCTTTAAGACTTCTTTCCGGCAATACCATTAATTGAGAGAAGTCTGACTTAAAGCTGCTCAATAAATTCTGGATATCTATGTGTTGTGATGGATTGGTTCCAGAGTATACACTTGGAATGTGGGTGGTAAAGGATTACCACCTATCCTGAGTGTTGGGGACCATTGCTGTGCAAAGTAGACTGTGTAGCAAGGGAGTGATCTTCCTTCCTCCTTGCATCACACTCCAATTTCACTTATCAAGGCCCCAATATTCAGAAGATGCTGGGTCTGCTGGAGAGAGAAGGAAAGCAAAAAAAGTCAGGTTCCCCCAGACCCATTCCATTGACATTTCTCTGGATCCAGCTCTACAGAAATTCCCAAGGCCTGGATAGAAAGGTGTATATACATAGGATACAATATTACTATTTTGACTAGACAGAAATAGCTTTATTGCTCTTTTAGTACAAATATTTACATTTTATACATTAGGAAGAGGTTTGTAATGAGGCAAACTGTTACACTGCAGTTACATTCCTGATCAGAAAACAGGATGAGTACACTATATGCATTGTGCAGCATAGACATTTTCTACTTTGGGGACATTTCCAGTATAACTCAAATGTCTGAAAATATTTTCTTGCCGTTTTTTTCTTCTTCGCTTTGGGAACATTTTGATTTAGGGTATCTGTTCGTCTTACAAATAGTTTTTGTACAATGCATTTCAGCATTGCTAAAGTTACTTTTGAAACAAAGTACAAATCATGCCTTACTTGAAATGCTCCTCACAGAAGTCCACTCACTACAGCATTTACAGGGGGAAACAAGATTTTGCCTTTCCATATTAGAAGATACAGCAACTTCAAAATTGTCCATGCAGGAACTATAATTGCTCTTGCTTGCATCAATATGATCTTATATTTTTAGTCAGTATCTTCATTGGATAGATAAATCTTTATCAAGTAAAGAGATTGTAGGTCAGTTTGCATCTCTTCAATGTAAACAGGCTTCACTTTAAACGCTTAATGTCCCTGAGATCTTCTAAATAGTCATCTTCATAAAGCTGCATTTGGTCAAAATAATTAGATTGTGCAATTGTTTCAAAAAGTGCTTTGTATTGTTCTGGGTATAGAGAACCTGTTGTAATGTCTTTTGGTATCTCTAACTGACTCAGCAGTTGCTTCTCAGATTCAGGACACAATAAACTGAAAGAGAAGACAGTAAAGGATTAGTCACAATGGAACAAGAAGTTTGATTTTCCAGTATCTCACTAAAACAACTTCTATTACCCTGTCACAAATAAACAATAAGAACAATGAGGAAAGAAACACGTATAGACATTTGGACAAGTTTGTCCCTGTAGCACAAAGCAGGTTTTACAAATGACATTCATACTCAAATGTTACATGCATCTCATCAGGTTTCATTTCCTTACAAGGCATAATGCCTACTAACAGTACATTTCAGTGACATTCATTCCCACATGTACTCTGAGAAGCAGAAATGGACAATACTTGGATGTTTCTTCACAAAATGCCTATTTATTTAGGCTTTTTCCAATGTATAATTGTGCTCCTCTCTTTTGATAACTTTACATTTATTATAGTTTTTACACTGTATCCAGATGCAACCTGCTTAGAGATCTTACAAAGTGGTATATCAGCTGTTTAAATAATACCAAAATAAAATTGAGACTGGTTTTCTCAAGCTTGTTCAAAAACCTTACCAGTGATAACTCAATAGTATGAAGTCCTGCAAGGGAAACTGACAACTAGGTACAAGGGATAATGGAGTGTTTGGGCGGGGGGAAATCAAGTGGTCGTGGAGAAACAGAATGCAGCAACTGGAAAATGAGGATGAAGGAAGACATACAAAGAAAATGTAGATAGAACCATCTCATTGCCTGGATAGGTCACTTTCTGGTTCATTTGGTCAGTGATAACTAAGTATGCCCAGGGGATAAAAATTTAAGAAGCAGCAGGAGAAAACTAGTGGGAGGGTGTGAACAGAGTGGAGGGTATGGAACCATGAAGAAAGCATTTCCCAACGGAAACAATTTTGCTGGAAGATTCCAGTTATTAGCTTCTAGTCATGGTTAGATTGCAACATAAGATTTACTCCTAAAGCAAGCATCTGACAGAGCATCATTTATTACCATAATGAAACTTTGGAAGTCCCATTATCATTTCAGTGTGCAACTTAATGCACCACAGCATGCTTCCAGATACTTTTGAAAATACAATTAAACACTAAAAGGCTATTTGAAACATAACTGAGCACTATCTAAACCTTAGGGTAAGCGTCTTATGTTTATCTAGCAGCAATCTCCTGTAACTGACACTGAAGGATGTTTCCAAGGGCATATTTGATAAGGGATGGTAACCTGCTGTTCAAACATGCCTAAAGCGGATTAGTGGATCCAGGGAAACATAACTATTCCCAGATGTCCCAAAAGGATTGGCCTTGTAGGTTTAAAACAGTGGCATCCCATAGTACATAAACCAGCTTTTGAAGAGAAGCAACTTTAACTGTAGTATTTCAAATGGCTCTGGAGGTGGGAAGCCTACTGTTAAAAATAAAAGTTTGGACTGACTCTTTGGAATCCCACCCCTCTATATGATATTTAGCAATTAAAGTGCTTACCTGACAAGTATAGCCCATTTTAGTCACACACTGCCAACTCTATATTTGAAGATGTACAGTATTGTAAAACAACGTATATACCACATACTGTAATAAAGGAGCTTCAGACACCAACTCTTTGTACATGTATATTTGCTGCCCTTTAAACACTGCTTTAGAGCAACTAGATTGTGCCATTTTGCAGAACAAGATCCACAAGTTAATTTATGGTGGGGCTGAATATAAACCTAATGATAGTTACATATTCCCAAACCCTACCCCACAGTTGTTGATAGCAATTCACACCTTTGGAATATATTCTGGTTAAACCATTATCAGATAATTTGGAATCAAAGAAAGAAAAGAACATTAATTTGGGCTATGGGAATTACTTCCACAAGATGTAGCTATGGCCACCAACATGGATGGCTTTAAATGGGGATTGGTGACATGCATACAGGATGAGTCTTGAAATCCATTCTGTTTGAGGGAATGGCTACTGTAGTTACCAGGAATGCTAATGACAGAGTACTACACTGAAGCCATCTTTAATATGTAACTGCAGCACCTTGCTTAAATTAAAGGTCTATGAGGAACTCCTATGAACATACCACCCATAAGTAATACCATTATTCTGATTTAAACAACTGCCATACTCTAAAAACTTTTCTGCATTGGTTGTCAAGTGATGAACATTATCTTTACTTACTTTAGTTTATCTTTTAGTTTTGTCCGGGTTCGAACAAGACACTGTTTTACCATTGCAATAAATATGGTTGAATTACTAATGGTCAAGTTGTCTGTAAATAAATTCTTCCGGGGTGTCAGCTGTACTAAGCATAAGTGGTCATTCGGCAGCAACTGCATCCAAAACAGAAAAATTTAAAATATTTTAATTCAGCAAATATTATTCTGGAGAGTTAAGTTGGATCTGCAATCTGTTTTAAACCTCCTTTTAATTGCTACACTCTAACCTGAAACGTTAGAAAACATTGAAAGAAGTATAAAGAATTGTCCTGTTGCATAAAACTGATTAATTCTCTAAACAGGAAGGCATGTTTTCTTGGAGAATATGAACAGGGAATGTGGCAGCTACTGCATAACTAAAGCAACAAGTGTCTGGATGAAGGAAGTTTAACAATCTTGAACAGTCTATTCAATATAATGGTAAACTGCTAGTTTTCCAACCCTGCCATTGTAATATGTTTTATGAATTGGAGAACTTTCTTTCTCAATTATATTACTATAGATAACACATTTGATTTAAAAGATGCAAGTATCTTTTTGCAAGCATTTTTACTTCATTTTCTTTAGCATTCAGAAATGTAAGCTTACCACACTTTTTGGAACATAGAGCTTGTCATTCTTTGAATTAGTTAAAAATGAAGACCAAGGCTCCTAGAAGGAAAGAAGTAAAAGGGTCACTTAGGTAGGATTTTGGACCCACATTGAGAATTCACATATCACAGTATTAAAGCATGTTACGCAGATTTGAAAGACAGACATATTAAGAGTTGAAGTGAAGTTAGCAGCCAACATACCAAGTATTAGATGGTTCAAAATATTTTTGCATACTATTTATACACATGTACAGGAAGCAGCCCGCTTCCCATTCTGGAAGTTCCTCCAACTTTCAGCAGTAATTTTTCAAGGCAGCAAAAAAAGCCCTTCCAACAAGGTCTATGATGATCAGGTCATCCATGCAGACCTTTCAATCCTAGTGTAGGAATGTAAGTAAGTTGTACTCTGGTAAATGCTTGAGAAACAACTGTTTGGAAAATTATGACAAAGAGTGAAATCTAAAGTAGTGGAAGTTAAAGCCCAGAGTTTATAGTTACTGTTGCATTTTCTAAAGCAGACAGGGAATAGATAATGTACAGAGAAAGCAGAAACAATGAGCTTGCTCCCAGGCAGCTCCAACAAACTACAGATTACTTAATACCCAATTGGTTGTTACATGCAAATTATGTTCTAAACACCCACCATATGCAGAAGCTGAATATCACAGGCTATTTGGGAAAGTACACTTAGTGGTTGATAAATTCTTGAGTCTCCAGGCTTTGCAATAAGAGTCTGTCAAAGACAGAATGAACAGTTATATATTATACACCATTTCTGATTTTATCATGAAAACTCTGAGTAGAAACCCAAAAGCTTGATTAAGGCAGGAAGTTTCAAGTACCATAAATAAGTTGTACCAAGGCAGAAATCAGTGGCAGAGCCAGTGTGATGTAGTGGTTAAGAGCATGGGACTGGGACTCCGGCGATCTGGGTTCTAATCCCCGCTTGGCCATGAAGCCAACTGGGTGACTTTGGGCCAGTCACAGACTCTCAGCCCAACCTACCTCACAGGGTTGTTGTTGTGGGGATAAGATGGAGGAGGAGAATGATGTAAGCTGCCTTAAGCCCTTTGTAGGAAAAAGGCAGGATATAAATTGGGGAAAAAAATCTCACTTTATCTGGATATTGCAAAAGGTTATATTAGAAGCACTTACATGGCAAAACACAAGTGTTTCAATTATATTCATGTGTTAAAAATAAATTGTGCATGCCAACCCAATTTTATTATTTCTTTAGTACTGTTCCCTTTCTTCTGGAAGAGCTGCTATAATTTTAAAGACAGGATGTTGTGTCCAATAGTATCCATCTATTAGTAAAATAGATACAGCTAGAAGAACTGATTCTCCCTTCCCACCACAATGAATCACAAGTAATTGTACTCATATTGTACTTCTATTATTTGGATAGGGCCTCTATTTTCAGTTTTAAAATAACATTAACACCTTTAGTATATGATGATAGTTTTCTAATAGTAAGTCAATAAATAGATTTTGTGGCAATCTTGTAACCAACACAGCTGTCATCCTGTATTGTTGGGTTAATGGATTTTAGGCAACACATACGAACTACCTGGGACTAGATTTGGGTTTATCAGAAGATCAGCTACAGCTAGGATTTTTGCTAGACCCATATCTTTAAAGATTGGCCAGTGATATTTAGTTTTAATAAAAGAAATTTGTTTAAAAACTGCAACCACTATTTTTGCTATTTGAGTGAAGTATCAAAAACAAGACTACAAAGTCAGTAATAATTTTTACAGCACAGAAAATGTTTTTACATTACAAATCTAAACCAAACAAATTATTAATACACAGACATACAACATTAAAGATAACTTTACAAATTGCAGTTATTTAAAAACATAGTAATTGACCTAATTGGAAAATTTCACATACCTTGTACTGCTTTTCACTGACAAACAGGTTCAGTTCTGCTCTTCCATATTTAAATACAGAATTTCTTTCATATAAGGCATAGATAAGCTTCCAAAGTAGGTTCCTTTCCTTTTTTTGTGGGACAATTCCAACCACTTTCAGAGGAACATCTGTTTTGAAAATACACCAAAATGTATGAACATTATAGCAAGTGTGATACTTCCTGAGCAATCCTTACAATGAACAAGACAAAATGATCACAACAAAATGAATGATTTCAGTGGACTGCTACATAACATTGTTACTAAAATATATACCACTTCATTAATACGCCTCTTCTCATGTGAACCCCACTCTTGTAGCAGCCTAATCTTCAACATTTTTCTGTCTACAGTGCCTGGGGATGATAGCAGCTACAGTGCAAAACATCCCTCTAGGGATGCTGATCCAGTTCATATGCGATACTGGACTCATTATGGATTGCTAATAAACTGTGGTGGAGGTTACATTTTGAATATGTAACCCCCCAATCAGTGGGTTGCCATGTCAAGCAAACTCAAACAATTTAGCTTTAACCTTCTGTTTGTAGTAGGAATATGTGAAGATTGTTTAATGCTTAGACAATCCATTGTGGCTGAGTTTACACAACACAGCAACTCCCTGATCAGTATAATCATTTCACCTAACACTTGCCATTGAGCCCAGCATGTCATATGTACAGGGTTGCTTTATCAGAGGCTAGGTTACCAACCCACATTGTGCATAATTTTCATCATAGAAACACCAATTATTACTACTACATTTATATCCCACCTTTCTTCCTCTTGCAAATAATCCAGTGCATCTTACATGGTTCTCTTCATCTCCATTTTATCCTCACAACAACCATGCGAAGTAGGTCAAGTTAAGAGCCAGTGACCAGGTCAAAGTTACCAAGTGAATGGGCTTGGGCTGAATGGGGATTAGAACCCTGATCTCCAGAGTCCAGTTCCAACACTTTTAACCACTATACTACTCTGGCTTTCAATCATTCGTTTAATTGCAAAGTTGTGCCCAACCCATCATGACCCCATGGACAATATTCTTCCAGGCTCTCCTCTCCTCCACCATCCCTCAGAGTCCACCCAACCCCACCCCCCCGTGACCTCATCCAGCCAGCTCATCCTCTGCAGTCCACTTCTCCTTTTGTCTTCAATCGTTCCCAGCATCAAGGTCTTCTCCAATGAGTTCTTCCTTGTCATTAAGTAGCCAAAGTTATTTAAGCTTTTGCTTTAGTACCTGACCTTCTAAAGAACAATCATGGTTGTTTTCCTTTAGTATTCACTGATTTGATCTCTTTGCAGTCCAAGGGACTCTCAGGAGTCTTCTCCAGCATCACAATTCAAAGGCCTCAATTCTCTAGCACTCAGCCTTCCTTATGGTCCAAATTTCAGAGCCATACATTACAATTGGGAAAATAATAGCTTTGACTGTACGAACTTTTGTCGGCAGGGTGATGTCTCTGCTTTTTAGTATGCTGTCTAGATTTGGTATAGCTTTCCTCCCAAGGAGCAAGCATCTTTTAATTTCTTGGCTGCAGTCACAGTCTGTAGTGATCTTGGAGCCCAAGAAAGTACAATCTGTCACTACCTCCATTTCTTCCCCATCTATTTGCTAGGAAGTGATAGGACCGGATGCCATGATCTTAGTTTTCTTAATGTTGAGTTTCAAGCCAACTTTTGCATTCTCCTCTTTCATCTGCATTAAGAGGCTCTTTAGTTCCTCTTCACTTTCTGACATATCTAAATTCTCCCACTATTTTAATTACTAATTTGTTTTAATCTGTGGTTTTATCCCTATACAGGATGCTGTGCTGCTCTTACCTGTATTCTGTTTTATTGTTGTTGTTGTAAACCGTCCCAAGAGGTTTTTGGTGGGATGGTATACAAAGTTGTAAATAAATAAATAACTGAGGTTGTTGAAATTTCTCCTGGCAATCTTAATTCTGACTTGTGATTCATCTAGCCCAACCTTTTGCATGATGTACACTGCATATAAGTTAAATAGGCAGGGGGACAATATACAGCCTTGCTGTACTCCTTTTCCAATTTTGAACCAATCTGTAGTCCCATGTCCAATTCTCACTGTTGCTTCTTGACCCGCATATAGGTTTCTCCAGAGACCAATAAGATGGTCTGGTACTCCCATCTCTTTAAGAACTTGCCACAATTTGTTGTGATCCACACAATCAAAGGCTTTAGCATAGTCAATGAAGCAGATGTAGATGTTTTTCTGGAAATCCCTAGCTTTCTCCATGATCCACCATATGTTGGCAATTTGATCTCTCCCTCTAAGAAACCTGCCTGTACTACTGGTAGTTCTCAGTTCACATACTGCTGGAGACTAGCTTGTAGAAATTTGAGCATAACTTTGCTAGCATGTGAAATGAGTGCAACTGTATGGTAGTTTGAACATTCTTTGGTACTGCCCTTCTTTGGAATTGGAATGTAAACTGACCTTTTCCAATTCTGTGGCCACTGCTGAGTTTTCCAAATTTGCTGGCATATTGAGTGTAGCACTTTAACTGCATTGTCTTCTAGTATTTTGAATAGCTCATCTGGAATATTGTCCCCTCCACTAGCTTTGTTGTTGCTCAGACTTCCTAAAGCCCATTTGACTTCACACTCCAGGATGTTTGGCTTGAGGTCAGTGACCACCCCATCATGGTTATCAGGGACATTAAGCTCTTTCTTGTATAGTTCTGTGTAATCTTGCCACCTCTTTTTAATCTCTTCTGCCTCTGTTAGGTCCCTGCCATTTTGATCATTTATCATGCCCATCTTTGCATGAAACATTCCTTGGTATCTCCAATTTTCTTGAAGAGATCTCTAGTCTTTCCCATTCCATTGTCTTTCCTCTCTTTCTTTGCACTGTTTGCATAGAGCTTCTCCATTTTTGGCTGCAGAGCACATAGTCAATCTGATTTCTGTGTTGACCATCTGGTGAGGTCCATGTGTAGAGTCGTCTCTTGGGTTGTTGGAAAAGAGTGTTTGCTATGACCAGCATGTTTTCTTGACAAAATTCTGCCAGTCTTTGCCCTGCTTCATTTTGTACTCCAAGGCCAAAATTGCCTGTTATTCCGGTTACCTTTTGGCTTCCTACTTTAGCATTCCAATTCCCCGTGATGATAAGGACATCATTTTTGGGTGTTAATTCTAGAAGGTGTTGTAGGCCTTCATAGAACTGGTCAACTTCAGCCTCTTCAGCATCAGTGGCTGGGACATAGACTTGGACTACTGTGATGTTGAATGGTTTGCCTTGGATTTGAACTAAGATCATTCTGTCATTTTGGGGATTGTATCCCAGTACCGCTTTTCCTACTTTTTTACTAACTATGACTAATCCATTTCTTCTGAGGGATTCTTGTCCGCAGTAGTATATATGAAGGTTATCTGAATTAAATTCACCCATTCCTGTACATTTTAGTTTGCTGATTCCCAAGATGTCAATGTTCAGTCTTGTCATCTCTTGTTTGACCACATCTAGCTTGCCTTGATTCATGGATCTTACATTCCAGGTTCCTATGGAGTATGGATCTTTACAGCACTGGATTTTCCTTTCACTACCAGATAAATCTGCAACTGAGTGTCCTTTCAGCTTTGACCCAGTCACTTTCTGGTGCTACTTGTACTAGCCCTCTGCTCTTTTCCTCAGTAGCACATTGGACACCTTCTGACCTGAGAGGCTCATCTTCCAGCATCATATCTTTTAGCCTTTGGATACAGTCCATGGGGCTTTCATGGCAAGGATACTGGAGTGGGTTGCCATTTCCTTCTCCAGTGGATCACCCTTTGTCAGAGCTCTCTGCTTTGACCAGTCCATCTCGGGTGCCCCTGCACAGCATAGCTCATAGCTTCATTGAGCTACACAAGCTACTTCGCCACGGCAAGGCAGTGATCCATTAAGGGGCTTTCAATCATAACAGCTCCCACAATATTTATGGAGCATTTGAGAGGTGGTATTTTTAGGAAAGTCATTAAAAATCCTCTACCAAAAGCAGAAAAATGCTGCATGTAACTATTGTTTTAGTTATACTAATACTGGTCTAATTCATGAACTTTTATCCAAACATAACTCACTTCAAATCCATCAAATTGAGAAAGGCTGAATATAAACTATTAAACATTGGTCTTCTGATTATCTATAATCTAGATACAGGCGTTTCAATTTACCTGCTGTCCAAGGAACAGCCAAGATGCCCAGGTTCTCAAAAAGTACCTCAGAATACATCAATGGTGGCTTAATTAACCCCAAAAACATAGGGTCCAAATGGAAGAAGTCACAGTGCACCACTTCAAGTTGGCCATCTAATTTCTTCTTTATACACTAAATACAAACAAAAATAGATTTAATCATATGAATATCTGACCTTGCATTTTGCTAAGTCAGTGCATTGGCCCTTATAGCCTAGCACTGCCCACTCAACCCAATAGCATCTCTCTAAAGTCTCAGACACGATTTTCCCACCCATTACCCAAGATCCTTCAACTGGTGATACTGAGATTTATCTTGGAATCACTTCTTGTTCACCAACCACTTTCAGCCATCTGTAATCAATTAAATAAAACAAACATACCTACCTCTAAGTTTGGCACAAAGGAGTCACTACTCTCTAGAGCTATTACATGAGCGCCAGCATTGAGCAGTGTTTGGGTCAGAATTCCAGGACCTGAAAAGTAAAGGCCAGAGTTTCATGTTTTACTTTTAAGTTAGTACATCATCATTAAAATTAAACACTATTTGGATTTGAGAAGGATTATAATAAAACTATTTAAGTTCTCAAAAGAAAGATGTAGATATGCTAAGCTGTTCATGTACTATGCTGAGAATAAATCACACCCTGAGGGGAAAGTAGAAGGACCAGAAACAGTCTAATAAATTACCATCATTCAACTTCCAATCTCCCTTCCCCAGCTGTCTCCAAAGTTGCTTCTGAAGAACTATCTTGAATGAAAGAAGTAGCAGAAACAGCTTCAAGACAAATACCTGTTTGTTTTATTGTATAATTGTTACTAATGCAAATTGCTTTAGCTTTTGAATTAAACCACTTCATGAGGTCCTCCTGAAAAGCAGAATACGGAATAAGCAGTAATATTAGCAGCAGCATTTTACAGCTTGCTTACTACTGCTACTTAGACCAATATTAGTAAGCCTCAATACAAGCATAAAGATGCAAAGCAATGGCAAGGAAAATGCTTTGTTGTATTTTTCTTACAACTTTTAAAAAGCATTCTAATTAATATCTGGGAATAAGTTCCCCTGAGCTCTTCGGGACGTTTTCAAGTAAACCTTGTATAAGTTGCTTTCCAAAGCTACACAGTCAGGACAGGCAACATACAACCCTCTGAATGATTTGGTTTAATATTCTCATTGTTCCTCACCACTGACTATGCTGATAGGCCTGATACAAGTTGTAGGCTGAAACATGGGAGTATTCACAGATTACCCTTTTAAAGATTGCCTCCATAATCATGCTAACATCTAGGTTCCTTTACAACAGGGTGAGGAACTTCAGGTTCAGAAATACAAATGTGTAAATGTTATATATAAAACACTTTAAAGAATGTTTAGAGAATGATCCTACACCCACCTACAGTATCTAGAAGGCCACAGGATTCTTCAGATTCCTCTATCCTAGACCAGAGATAGCTCCTATAACGCTGAGGATCACGCTCTGCTACCTCCCCACCCAATCCCATTTGAATCTAGCATTCCCAAACAATAAATTAAAAACAGACTGGGTGATAGTTACACTAAGAATAGCATGTGTCTGCTGAATGACCTACATGATAGCCCCATGTGCATGTATAAAGCCAACCACTTTGAAAGTATTCCTTCAATGCTTCCTATTATTTCAATAAAGAGACATGGCCTCAATTCATAATGCTCGGAAACATGTGCTGATGTACTGGATAGCCACTTTCACATCACACTCTATGAATTTAAAATTTTGTATATGAAGCACCACCACTGTAGAGTATCACACTCTCAAATTGCTTTTTAGTATTACATTTACAGCTTTCAGAAGGACAAAGGGAAGGCAAAAAGAGAATAGAATTTCAGACTCTATATGGGGAAATTTAAGTAATGTTTGGTACTGTAACATAATGGTCAGGATGCAAAACCATGAACCAGAAATCCCTCTATTCATTTGAGATAGCATATTTATGCTCCCAAAAGAACCGTATAACTACTAGAGCCATCATCCCCAAGACAGCGTTGCTGAATACAAGCTTCCAGGCTCTTTCACTTGAAAACGTTGGCAGTAAAGCACACGAGGCAGCAGCGTAGTGGTGGTACCGAAGCCAAGCAAAGAGGTACAGGTCGGCCATGCTGGGGCTTCTCCAGCCCTCACCTGGCTCGCATTCCAGCACGAGAGTTTTCCGCAGGTCAGGGCCTCCCCCACTTCCTAACCGAGAGACTATAGTTCGCGCCAGCTCGGGGCAAGCGATGAATCTTCGCAGCGGCGCCGGCGACGTCAGATCTACCTTCTTCTTGACTATCTGGGCCGTTTCGGCCACCTTTGGAATCACAAGGGGGAAGGGGGGCTTGGCCGGGCCGTGACGCCATTCACTTTGACCCAACAGACCGCGCACCGAAAACCGCAACCCAGACGAAAAACTCAGAGCCGCCAGCGTCAAGTGCCGTCCCGGCATGACAGGAGGGACCAACGCCACAACCGCCATCACTGCCGCCTAACGGAACACCCTTCCGAGCGACACACGTAGCTCCCCTCGGCCGCCAACACGTGAGTGACCTTGCGGCAATCCACAGACGGCAGGCGCACCCGGAAGGCTTTAGAAACAGAACCTCTTCCGTTTCCAGGGAGCAACGGCTATGCTGTTACTGGGAGACACTCTAGCTCCTGCCTCCTCCATGGTAGTGCCCTCTCTAGCCGCACTCCACTCTGTGGTGCTCACCTTTTGCCGCCGCCGCTGCTGTTTTCCGGAGTCCGCAGCCGGGTCACAGGTAGCTTCATCGTGTCGTGTGTCTTCTTCTTTCCTGCCCATTTCGAGCCTGGCTGTGTCCGCGCGAGAGTCTCGTGGACATCAGGGCGGCCGTGCCCTGAGGTAAGAGAAGGCAGGCGAGGTTTCCGTGACCAGTCTCCGCAGGCACGGGGGGCGGCGGGGGCGGAATGTTTTCTTCCGCGAGCTTGTGTGTCTAGCTGCGTGTTGCTTTTGAAGCCCTCGCGGAACTGAAGGAAGCCGGCCTCGGGGCGGAGAAGCGCGGCATCTGCGTGGGCAAGTGAGGGGGCGACGGCGTGCGGCGCGAGGGTACCTCACGCGCGCCGGGACTTGGGGCGGCTCTGGTCGGCCGGCATGACAAGGGAGGCGCGCAAGGAGGACGCGCATGAGACCCGGAGGAAGCGCTGTCAGGATTTGACCGGAGCGGAGGGCGCCCTCTTTCCATTTCCTCCTCCATCCCACCTCTTTGCGACGTGAATACCCCGGGGGTCAACCCTTCGCTGCACATGCCGCCTCGCCACCTCTCAAGCCGATACCTGTTTCGACTAAATGTGGTTGTATCCAAGTAGTGAATTGTGCCCGGGCGCTTAAAGGCCAGCTCTCGGAATTCCGGGCTTGTACTTCTGAACAGCGATGATGTTTATTTATTCCGCCTGTCCCTCTCATTCTTTCCCCAGTTCTATGTGTAGAGCTATCACCATTTCTGTATCTCAAGAAAAGATAGTTGCTCAAAGTGGCTGTTGTGATCAAGGCTATTAAGCACTCTGAATTGGCTCTCAAAACTGAGGGTTGTACTAATTACATCTTTGGATCAGTGGCAGAACAAATGCACAGCATCTCTGGGAAAGGAAGGAAAAATTCCTGCCTGAAACACTGGAATAGCTGCTGCCAGTCAATGTTGACAAAAATGAGCTAGATGGACTCATGTCTGACTCAAGACAGTGTATGGCAGCTTCTTGTGTTCCTGTCTATGAACATTAAGTTATTGATCCCAGTATTCTGCCTCTAATTTGGGGGATTTTCAAATGTTACATACCTATGTAGATTGTACAGGCATCTTTCTTTTTCTGAAAGTTTCTGTGAGAAAATTCACACTAGAGCTACATTCTTAACTAAATTCAATATGTGCATATTTCATTATGGAGAAGTATTTTCTGTGTAAAAACTAGTTATAAAAAACAGCATGGGAATAATGGGATAATCTTGGCTTTTTCATTAACATTCTTTTATTTCACAACACACTTGCTAGCCATGAAGCATTCATTGTGTGTATTTAGATGGATTGGCAAAGGAGCAACAAAGCCCAGCACAGAAATCAATCACGCATAGGATTGCACCCTTAATTACTTTGAAAATCTGTTCAGAAACGTGTTGCTTTTGTGTTGGGCTTTGGTTCTGGTGGCATTCCATACTTTACAAGGTCAGTTTGATGTGAGGAATTTAAAACCAGAAAGGTCAGTAAGCAGTGATGACTGAGTGGTTAGAATACTTAAGTACCTTCTGGAATGCTGTCTTCCTCTTCATGGTTACCTTAAAAACTACCCTTATCTTTAGCCTAATGGGTCCAAGCTTTGTCAGGGATCTTTTTTTCTTATCTCTTTTTACAGACAAGAGCTTGAAAATTTGGGCAGGAAAGGGTTTCAGGGCTGGAAATTATCCACACGATAATAAATAAAAATAAATTTGGTGCTGTAGATTTGTTAGTGTGAGAACAGCAGAGCAATAGTTGGCAGTAGGTACTTAAGTGTGAAACTTGTATCTAACCTACTTTTGAAGTTCAGAGGTGTGAATTTTCTTGTTTAATGAACAAGAGGTTTTACAGTGATTGACTTTTTGCTTTGTTTTTGTATCTGAATGTAAAGCTTTGTGTTATGTAATCTATTACACATGTTTGCAGCAGGATATTGGTATTTAGTGAAGTAGAACAAACCAGTTCCTCATCTGCATAACTATAGTAGTCATATTTGCTTCTGTATTGTATAGAAGGTTTAGCAAGGAAGGAAAGCAGGAATCCTTGTTACCTATTTGGTGTATGGTTCATAATAGGAGCCCACGAAATGCTGACAGAAAAATCTTTGCTGTCTTGCTTCTGCCTTTTTACCAGTTATTTGATTTTACTTCTGTAACCATAGCAACCCCCCACCCAAACAAAATGATAATAATTTTCCTTCTGCCTATTTGGAGCAACCATGGTTGATGCAGTAGTAGATAAAGGCTGGAATCCAAATAATAATGTCAGCTAATTTTCCATGCTCAAAGAGGCTTTGGGATTGTGTTTCTTGAGCCGCAGCATCTTCCACCCTTTTTTGGAAGCTGGGTTCCCTCTTTCCTTCTTTTAAACAACACACAGTTCTTTAGTAAAAAGCACTTTACTTCCAATGTACAGTCAACAAGCTAATACCCAACAGAGAAATAGGCTGTGAGCGTGCACAGAGCAGTTTCTTGAACCCAAACTAGAAACTCTTTCCAAGAACTCTCCTCTTCAGTAACCCTGGGCTCTACCCCTCCGGGTGAAGGGCTAGCTTCCTAGACCTACATAGGTCCTCTAGTTGTCTGGCACTTCTCTTCCAACACCACATTATGGGATCAGGGATCGAACCAGGCTCCTCCTGCTTCCAGACCCTGCTAGTTCCCAGAGTCTCCCTGAACTCATGGAGACAACTCTCCCTCCTTTGCCATCTCTATGCCCACAGACCTCATTTTCCAGCCTTCAGCATCCTCATCTCAGGAATCACTGCCAACCAGGTCCTGGAAAGCATGCCAAGAATCACTGCCTCTTTCATTCCTACTGCCCCTGTACCATATGCCAAACTACTTTTGAAACTGAGGAAACTTCCAGAGCCATTTGCGATGTGGCATGAAACTGTTCCGTTCAGAGTCAAAGCTCTAAAGAAAAAAAATCACTAGGGAGTTCTTTGGATCTCAGCTGTAGAGTCTGTTTTGCTTTCTCAAACAGAAATAGGCTTGCATGCCAGTCATGTTTGGAAGATGTGTTATTTGTTTAACTGTACCAGTAAACAATTGAAAACTTCTATTCCATGGAAACTGGGTTTGGATTAATTTTGTCCCTTTCTTCTAAACCTGGTATAGTTTTATTACATACAGAAGTACAAACAAGAACAGTTAAGACACCAAGCTGTTTGTGGAAAGACATCAGTCATCAACATAATTATCCATGAACTTACTTTGTTCTTTTCTTATGATTTAATTGTAACCTCCTCTGTAAAGCTGAACATAAATCCCAAAACTTGTTTTCTTGTTATGTTTGACTTAAAAAATCACACACACAAACACACACACATGATTTTAATATATATATTAAAAACTTGAGATTGCATCCTTCTGAAATGAAGAAAGTTCAAACCTTGGCAATTCTACAAATCCTGTGCTAATGGCACTGTGATTATTGTCCAAATAAAGTTGTCCAAATAAATTATGAATTTATCAACACTTTTAATATAAACCCCACAGGACTATTGCTAATCTGTATATTTTCAAGTTTGTGTTTTGGGTTTTATGTCAGTGATCCTGACACTCAAGCTTCTTTTTTCTCTCTGTACAGCTGTTATTAAATTCTTTGTGAATGGGTTGCTCGTTCAAAAACCTCCTTTTAATACCCATCGAAGGTCAAAAGGCTTGCCTTGCTGATGACTATAATTTATCAAGATGGAGTTCCATCTTCCTCCTTAATAAGGTATCAAAATTAATCAGTATTGTGTTTTGCTAGTTCTGAGTTTATTTCATTTCTATGCTGCCCTGTAGCTCAAACTTTCTGGGCAGTTCACAACAACTTCAGCTGGTTAGATGTCTAGTCTGCCTCTTCTAGGTTAGCGTAGTAGCATTCATTGCAAAATGTATCTTAAATTCTTTTCCCATTTTTTTTTTTTATTTTTTTTGGCAGATTGATCAGATGCCAATTCATTGAGCTAATTCTTTGATGCTTAAAAATTTCATCTTATTCCTGCAACACGTTTGAGAAGCATCTCAAGTTTTAAGAAAATGGTAAGTGCTATTCTCTAATTTGTAAAAAAAACAAAACAAAACCTCAAAGCAATGTTAAAAATTGCAAGTATGTTTCAAATATAAAAAAAAAACACACACACATTGATTTCTTTTAGTGGATTTTTGGGAGAGTAGATAGATTACTAATTGTATGAAAAATTTACTCATTTCCTACTTCAAGGTATTTTTGGCAAAGAGACAACAACTTATTCTTTGTAAGAGTCAAAACTGAAGAGAGTAATTTGGAGCAATGTTTTAATTCAAGGCAAAGCATTAGCTCCTTCCAAGGCTATGACTTCTTGGAGCTGATTGAATTAATTTTCCCTGCCACCATTGGGAGGGAAATTTGAAGAAATGAATAATTGCCAGGCTTAAAAACATGGTAAGTTGCCCCCACCATAGGATTGCTCTGACATACATAGGATTGCTTTGTAAGTTTGATTATTTGTTTGATTAGGATCTATGCATTTCTTCAGAGAAACAGACGAATGCTTTTTAATAATGAAAATAAATATTTAACCAGAAGAAAAGTATTTGCTGTTGCAAGAAAAAAATGTTCTTAAAACTGTAATAGTGCAACCATATCCATGACTAAAAGTGTTCCCAGGAAAGTAGGGGAAGGATCCTACCTATATTACAATTTTCAAGAAGTGGACCAAAACTTCCATTGGGAAGTGAACAATTCTGCATCTGTAGAATTTCACATTTTTGTGTTTTTTTTTTAACATGAGAACTTAGAAGAGGTAATAGTTGACATTCAGAAGGAATATGTATTATAGCAAGGGAGACAGGAAAGCAACTGATTGAATTTAACTCCTCAGAACTGCTGCTGTTTTGTGGAAGCCTACTTGGACACTTCAATTGGATGCAGGGAGTACTGCTTCCTGCTAGCCCACTGAAGCTGCTCCTTCTCCCAGAACAGTACTGCAAGTTTTAGTACACACTGAAATATATACAATACCATGAGAAAAACACAGCATATGGAAGAGTTGTGATATGATGACAGGAATAAAGAAAGGAAGAAGGCTTGGGGTAAGCATCATGTAACATGCCAGTGAGTCACGCATTACAATGCCAGTTAAAAAATCTACCTCTAGACAATCAAGGTACCAATTTTGAAAACTAAAGGAGAACACAAAGTAGTATTTTTGGTTGTGACTAATTTTTGAGATGCAAGCTACTGAGTCAACAAATTGAATCATTGAACAAAGTAAGTACATGACTCTTTGACATTCTTGGAGAAACTTTATATCCTAAAGTTGGAGGTAGTCTTGGGTTTGGTGTTGAGGACTCCCAGGATGTTGGTCCTGGGGGACATGAACATCCATGCTGAGCCTGCCTTATCCAGGATGACTCAGGACTTCATGGCTGACAACCATGTGGCTGTTTCAACATGTCTTCAGCCCAACACATATAATGGGGTACACCCTTGACCTGGTCTTCTCAATGGGACAAGAAGGTGGTGGCCCAGATGTAGAGGAATTAAGCTTTAAAAAAGCAAAACCTGAGCCCCAGGAATGTTACCAACCTGAGCAAACAACCCTTTTTTGGGCACGGTGCTTGACCTGGTGGTGGCTGAGCAGCTCCAGGCACTCTTGGATGAAATGGATTATCTAGAGCCATTGCAATTGGGTTTTAGGCTGAGGTTTGAAACAGAGACTGCCTTGGTCATCCTGTGGGATGACCTTTGCTGGGGGAGAGACGGGGGAGTAAAATCCTATTGATTCTCATGGACCTCTCAGAGCTTTCA